GGCCTCATTTGTGACCATGTTTCCTCCTTCCCTGAATGCTTATCATTCCCGTGACCCGAGAGGAGAAATGATTCATCTCCTCAAAGATGAACTTTCCAGGGTGTTTATTATTTGGCATTTGGCTGACTCACACATACAGCAGAATTTTTTATTATTCTTCCTTTGATTTCTGTTTAATGCTTAGGTTCCCAGACATGACCTTTTTCGCCTCCCATGACTTGTACATGCATTTCCTTAGGAAGAAATGCCCTTCCTCAAACACTACTCTCCTGGTGAGCACCCGCAAGTCCAGCTTAGTAAGGAACCTCCTCTGGGAAGCTTTCCAGGCACCTCCCTCCTATCTCTCATTGGATTGATCACACACAGCCCTGTGTTACAGGGGTGTCCTGACACAGACGTCTATTGTTCCATTTATTCCACTACATTGCAATGTTCTTACACTCATAAAAGAAGAAATATGGGCTAATTTTTGTCTCTGTATTACCTGCACCTAAAACAGTGTGAAGTACTAACAGATCCCAATTAATTTTTGTTAAATGTTGATTATTTGAACTCTAAAAAGTAGTCTATTACTTTACCAGAGAAGCTGAGATTTAAATCTAGGTGTGTGTCCAAAGCCAGTATTACCTCTCCAGCATGCTATTTGTGTATCTGTTCACTAAACCCCATTTCTTCTGCCTTCTGACGACACAGCTAGATTTCATTTCTCAGCCTTATATAAGTAGAAGTGACATATGCCCCTTCAGGGTCTGGCTCCTCAAAGTAAGTTCCTGCCAATCTTCTACCACTATTTTGCCTCTTGTTTGCTGGCTAGATTCAGTAGATCCAATAGAGGGATCTAAGACCCTAGAAAATGGCAGAACCACCCTATAGAGAAAGCCTAGCATCCCAAGTCACCATGTGAAGGAGACCAGGAATACCCAAGTAGAACTATTATGTGAGCAACAAATTATTTCATCTGGCTGTAAGCTCCTAAAATTTTTGAGGCTTTTTTCAGCAGTTTACATATCCTGATTAATACAATTCCAGAATTATAATTTTCATACCTTTTTTGTTTTCATTTTTTAAAGCTATATGTACACTGTGGAAACTTAAAGATATAAAAAGAATAAAGAAGAAAAATAGTTCTCATCACTCAGAGATAAACCCTGTTTTATTTTTCTTATATATCTTCCCAGTCTTCTTTCGGGGAGTGGGGGAGTGGGGCAGTGGGAGGTATAGATATAATAAAGAGAACAAAGAGATGTTATTTAAAAGATGGAAGCAGAGGTTTTCTTGAAGAGAACTTTTCATTTTGTTCCTTAATGGATTCTTTTATTGTGAAGTGATGGGCCCCAGGGCATAGTATGGAATGATTAAATTAGATCACTTTGCATAATAAGTTAAAGGATTTTGAGATTCCCTGGGCCATGCAGGAGCTTAAGAGAAGAGTGAAGGAGCCAAGAGGAGGAGAAAGGAAAGGAGGCTGGTGAGGAAGAGAAAGGTTCCATCAGGACAGGAGAAGGCTAGGACCTGGACCTGGGAGAGCAATACCAATGAGAACTTCCCAGCACTGGGAATTCCCGAAACACATTTAAGAATAAGAGTGTGTATTATTTGGTCCTAACATTTTTGCCATGGTGTGTCCTGCTGGCCCATGATGCAAAAACCCTTTGCCATTTATACTCCTGAGTGTTTAATAAAGTCTCATCTCTATGAATGTTTATATGAGTTGTGTTTTAAGAAAGAAAATCAAGGGAAATGGCAAGAAGTGAGACGTAATAGAAATTACAATCTCAGAGGGGGCAGGATGTCAGAGAAAGAGATGACGAAGAAAAACTTGGCACCGGGGACTTCCCTGGTGGCGCAGTGGTTAAGAAGCCACCTGCCAATGCAGGGGACACGGGTTTGAGCCCTGGTCCGGGAAGATCCCACATGCCAGAACAACTAAGCCCGTGTGCCACAACTACTGAACCTGTGGTCTAGAGCCTGCGAACCACAACTACTGAGCCCTCGTGCCACAACTACTGAAGCCCACGGGCCTAGAGCCCATGCTCTGCAACGAGAGAAGCCACCGCAATGAGAAGCCCACGCACCGCAACGAAGACTAGCCCCCGCTCACCACAACTAGAGAAAGCCTGAGCACAGCAACAAAGACCCAAAGCAGCCAAAATTAATTAATTAGTTAGTTAAAAAAAACCTTGAGACTGCTTCATCAAATAACATGTCATGTACATTTGCCCAATCTTTAATGTCTCTGAAAATATGCTTTTTAATGGCTGCCTGCCATTCCAGTGTATGAATGCACCATCACTTACTTAACCTTTCCCTATTTGGTGCATTTAGATCGTTTCCAGTTTTCCACTGTTAAACATACTTCCTCACGAAACACACGCATGTAGAAAATCTGGGTCCAGATTTTCTGGTTTAGCCAAGGTTTTGTTTGTTGTAATGAACAAAAAGTCACTCAGATCTGCTTAAGTAAAGAAGTGCAACTTAATATAAGGATCCAGCATTACTGCACAAAACCCACAAGCTCATGTATTCAGTCTCATGAGGAACCTGTACAGGAAGTGCTGCAAAATCACCAGAAATTGCCATCTCATTGCTTCTTTCAGAGGATACCCATTTTCTCTGCCTCTACACATGTGTATGAGAGAGAGAATTTACAATTGATGTTCATATTAAATAATGTATAAAAGATACACAGTAAGTTCTAATAGCAATCTCCAATTCCTTCTAAGAAACTTCTAGATGTCATATAACTAATGTGACTAGGCTACTTTCCTTACCTGTCCTGTATCCTATACTTATGTCTCTTTTTCTCATGTGTATTCTTATTCCATGTGTTTGCAATGGGAGTCTTGTTTCTCACTTCAGGCCCAAGAGGCCCTGAAGTCTTATTCATTCACTGTTTATCAGCTCCAGAAACGGCTACTTAATACTTCCAACCCATTTGTCTCTCTCACTTGAGGGCTCTGTCCCTGTGGAATGACTGCTACATTCTCTCTGCAGAAGGAGCCTTCTTCGGTATGAGTGGTGGGGACAGTGACAGTGGTCTGTGTCTCCTCCATAACCTCAGTCAACTTCTGCTGTCTTTGTGTCCACATTGGCATCTAATGTCTGGCAGGCTCTTGACTTCACCCCTGTTCACTACTATGGTTTTCCATTTGTGGTCCATGGAGGTGTTTACCTTGTTCTTGAGTTGGCAAGGTCCTCACAGATATCTCCTTATAAAGATTATCTATCATTGCTCTTTGAAGCAGAGAGGATGTGTTCTTAGCCTGGAAGTCCTCTTTGCTTAATTCTTCTCATCCTTGTACGTATTGACTTTCCTCAAGCACTATGACATGGGGTCTTCCCCCATTGTCCAGAGAAGGAGGGCATGGGCTGGGCAGATACCACAAAAGATGTCTATACACATCCTTAGGATAAATTCTTAGAAGTGGGAGTTTTGTTTGAAAGGTATGACACTTATAGCTTTTGATACGTATTGTAAAATCACCCTTTAGAATGGTAAAATCAAGTTATGCTTCTACTAGCAGTATGAGAGAGCAGCCAGCCCTAGGCATTCTCAGGAGCTGTAATTGAAATCGGCATTTATTCAGCATTACTTCTGATGAGGTCAAAATCATGCATCACCTTTCCCTTTCATCAGGGTCATACTTCAGGGAAAGCCACACTGAGATAATAGTTTGGCACTTCCTGGATGGGGATCACAGAGTTCTCTTCCTGTCACTTTGCATCTTTGGACTACCTTCACATTCTTACATAAACGCAACTGGGCATATGGGATGTATAATATTGTGTTTTATAATAAGAAATATGTATTTGATCTTTGTTTCTGGCATAGAACTCCTAAAACTCTTGGAATTTCCTAAATGATAAAAGTCATAAAAAGTGTTTTGATATTCACAACAAACCCCTTTTAACCACACCTGAAGTTATGTTAATGAGGTGACTTTTGGAAAGCACCTAAGGATGGGGGCCCTTTGTCAGGAGAACCAACCATGTGATCAGAGGGTTGGAATTTTCAGCCCCACCCCCTGACCTTAAAGGGGAGAAGGGCTGGAGGTTGAATCAACTGCCAACACCAATGATTTCATCAATCGTGCCTATGTAATGAAGACTCCATAAGAACACAATAGGACTGGGTTCAGAGAGATTCTGGGTTGGTAAGCATGTAGAGATTAGGGGGGAATGGCAAACCCACAGAGCCCCTTCCCACATACCTTGCCCTATACATCTCTTCTATCTGGCTCTCCCTGAGTTATGTCCTATTATAATAAACTGGTAATATAGTCGTAAAAGGTTTCTCTGAGTTCTGTGAGCCACTCTAGCCTATTAATAGAACTCAAGGAGTGTGTCATGGGAACTTCAGATCTATAGCCGGTCGATCAGAAGCACAGGTGAAAACTTGAACTTGCGATTGGCATCTGAAGTGGAAGCAGCGGGCAGTCTTGTGAGACTGAGCCCTTAACCTGTGGGATTGGATGCTATCTCCAGGTAGGTGGTGTCAGAGTTGAATTAATTACTTGGTGGTGTTGGAAAAAACATATACCAAAGAATGCATAGTTATTATTACATCGAATCTGTGGACTAAGCATTAGTAGTTTAGTACAGATTTTACCAGAATATATGATGCTAGATCCAGGTCACATAACATTCTAAAGGCATATAGGCATATGCCTATAAATTTTTATTATTCATAATTTCTAGACTAAGCTTTCTAAAGGCTATGTTTACAACCATCCAAAGCAATTATGCTGGAATTTTAGGAGATTTTATTGAGTATAAGACACTGCCTCTGGCATTTCCTCCAACCTGGCTGGGTCTCCTCCTGGAGGGCATGGCCACATAACCCCACATTTGACCCTAAGGAGCTGGGAAGTTAGGCTCACTAAGCATACCCAGCTGATAACTCCTGTTTTGTTTTCGTTTGGTTTTGGTTTGTTGCTTTTTCTTTTTTTCTGAGCATGTGTTCTTTGCATTTTTCTCAATAAATCATAATTTTATACGACTTAGGGTCAAAGGGCTCCCTTCCACCGAGCCCCCATGGGACCACCATAGTGCTTTTACACACATTGTCTCACCAAATCCTCATAATAACACTTGAATAGATATTGTTATTCTTCCCATTTCACAAATGAGAAAGCTCAGGGTGCTCACCTTATAGAAACAACCAACATAAATTATGTAGTGGGAGTTTGTTGTTTCTGCCTCAGGCTCAGGTTCCCCATTCGTGGTATTTGCATCCGGATTTTGTTTTGCAGCAAGTTCTTGTCAGTCCGTGGAATGCAAGTGTGTAGACTCCACGTTACATTTGGGGGTGTCCACGTGACTCAGACAGGCCACTCCACTGTCTTCTGGACGCAGAAAATGGTTCAGGGATGGACACCATTAGGAAGGAGTAACTTCTTCCTCACTCTTGATAGTTCCCTTGTGTCTTAAGGACATTCAAATATTGTAACCAGCCCTCTTTTCCCCCTTTCCTCGCTCCACCCAAGGAGAGGTGAAGAGACTTACCTGATTGTTACAGTTGGGAAGAGAACACTGGACATGTTCATCTCCACAACTCCAGGTATTCTCTTAAGAGCCAGGTCTGTGAAAACAAGGGGTCTGCTTTGCCTCCCAAGGGACAGGCTGAGCCCTTACAGGGGGAAAAAAGGCTGCAAGAAAGGCTTGGGCCAATTTACTACTGTCATGGCCTGGTGGCTAATCTGCAATAGTCTCGGGTTCAGTTGTTAAACCCATTTTGTTCTCACACTAAGATAAATTTTAAGGTTTTTGGAGAAGACCTATAGTTTAATAAATCAATAAGGTGCTGAGGGTTTCGCTGGTGGTGCAGTGGTTAACAATCCGCCTGCCAATGCAGGGGACATGGGTTCGATCCCTGGCCTGGAAGGATCCTACATGCTGCAGAGCAGCTGGACCCGCACCGCAGCTGCTAAGCCTACACTCTAGCGCCCATGCTCTGACACAAGAGAAGCCACGACAATGAGAAGCCCACGCACCGCAATGAAGAGTAGCCCTCACTTGGCTTGCCTCAGCTAGAGAAAGTCCATGCACAGCAACGAAGACCCAACACAGCCAAAAATTAAAACAAATAAATTAATTAATTTAAAGTAAAATATGCTGCTCACAAGCATATCTTCTTTTATCTCACTTTTTTTTTTTTATTAGGAGGCCTGATTAAAAGCAAATCAGGACTTCCCTGGTGGCGCAGTGGTTGAGAGTCCACCTGACAATGCAGCGGACACGGGTTCATGCCCCGGTCCGGGAAGATCCCACATGCCGTGGAGCAGCTGGGCCCGTGAGCCATGGCCGCTGAGCCTTCGGGTTTGGAGCCTATGCTCCGCAACGGGAGAGGCCACAACAGTGAGAGACCCGTGTACCGCAAGAAAAAAAAAAAAAAAAAAAAAAGCAAATCAATATAGGGGGGAAAAAAGGGAAGCACCTGTACCACCACCATTAACTGCAACACTGATCACCGAAGCCAAACCCTCAGCCTTGCTGCCAATAAAGCTCTGAGTGCTCCTGACCTCCTGGCATGTCTTGTCGATTAATGCAGTTCATGGATGGATTGCCACTTCAGCTGATGTCTTGAGTTTCTGCAGCTGATAGAGCAGTGGTTCTCAAACTTTAATGGATACAAGATACTCAGCTGTACTATTTGTTTTACTGGTTGCAGACTGTACCCCCAGAGATTCTGAGTCAATAAATCTGGGGTAGGAACCTTTCATTGATCACACACCCTAGATGATTCTGAGGCAGGAGGAGCTCCATGTACCTTGTTTTAAAAATAACAGGCTAGGGCTTCCCTGGTGGTGCAGTGGTTGAGACTGCCTGCTATTGCAGGGGACGCAGGTTTGAGCCCTGGTCTGGGAAGATGCCACATGCCATGGAGCAACTAGGCCCGTGAGCCACAACTACTGAGCCTGCGCGTCTGGAGCCTGTGCTCTGCAGCAAGAGAGGCTACGACAGTGAGAGGCCCACACACCGTGATGAAGAGTGGCCCCTGCTCGCCACAACTGGAGAAAGCCCTCGCACAGAAACGAAGACCCAACACAGCCAAAAATAAATAAATAAATTTATTATAAAAATAACTTGCTATCTTACTATGTTGTAAATATCTGGTTCAGGCTGTGAATCTGACAATGTGATATGGGCTCTAATTGGGGAATAGTGGCACAGATGAGAGACTAATTTTGCTCAGTGAAAAGGAAAGGCAAGAGGAGGGTAAGAGAGACTCTCAAATATTTGACCTCTTATTTAAAAGGTGAGAAGAAATTTTACAGCTAGGAAGGGGCAAGAAGAGAAAGAATGAGGAGGGAGGAAAGTGCATACAGAAGAATGACAAGTACGATAGCAAAATACGAGACTATCCTGTGGACTTGTGGTTCCCAAATACAACAGCTGCACCAGAAATCTCCTAAGATATTTATCAAAATGCACATTCCCAGAGCCTCCAACAGACTGACTCAATCGAATCTCTTAGGCAAAGACCTGGGTATCTGGACTTGTAACAAAGGTCACCAGACATTCCGATAAGCAGACAGTATGGGAACTATTGGTAGACCAAGAACTGGTCCAACCTGAGACTCTAGGTCCTTAAGAGGATACAGCATCTGAGAGTTAATGTCAGGAAATATCCAGCCAGAGGATAAAAATATAGCCAAGAAGAAATTCCAAAGCCAGTAATAGGTCAGTCAGAAATTTTCCACAGAGAAAGGGATAGATTACAAAAATGGGAGTTAGGTAAATGAGCTGAACTTCAAAAACCAGAAGATGTAGACAAAGAAGGCAGTTTCTAGAAATAAAGACAAAGTGAGACTGAAAATCACCCTGTGAGAGATCAGGCAGAGGTAGACTTCCTGAACTCTACAAGGTACTGTGCAAGGAGATGGCTTAACAGCAGCCTTAATGTAACTGACCACTTCCACCTGGAGTTGAAAAGACATCCAGTTCAATTAGCTGCTGAAAAGACAAATCTGAGGAAAAATCAGGATTTTCAGAGATTAGAGATTACGGAGTTCCGAGATTATGGTTCAGTAGAAACCTGACTTTTAAAAGACAGAGTGAAGAGACACTGAATCATCAAGAGGAGAAAAGGGTAGTGTGAGCTGTCTCTCTTCATTTTATAAATTACCAGAGCCACAGGATTCAATTCCTAGTTCCCCTTAATCTATGCATATAGAACTGTTCTTTAAACTACCAGTAGGTGGCACTGTGGTTTTGGTTTAAAAAAAAGCGTATTACCAATGATAGTAAATTTAGTACCCTGTTTTAAAAAAAAGAACAAGACAAACTTGTGTTAAGGAAAGACTAAAACCAAATTAAAATACCAGATCAATATCTGAAGGCTTATGTATTGTCCTTACTCAGAATTCTACACACTACGCTAGTTTTAATTTATGACCAATAAATTGCATAATTTAGCCAGAAATGGAACAGATCATCAAATCGACAAACATAAAAATCTGAAGGATGTCAAATATGGTTGTAAGTTAAGAGATGTTTATTTGCAGTAAAGCAGCTAGCAAATTTCCATGTGTATTCTGATTTTTGTGAACTTTAGGTTCTATTGCCTTCATGGGCTCTTTCCTCCAGAAAACATATAAATTATAAAATATTTTATGATTGCTTTGATATAAAGACACATATACTCCAGGCTAGATTAATCACTAAATGTTTTCCTTTTTTTTTTTTTTTTTTTACTGAACTTAAAACAGAGTTAAAATATTTTTGTGGGCCCCTAACCGTGCCATGGGCCCTATACCCTGTGTCTACTATGTCCAATGAATAAGTCCACCCTGTCTCCTTTAAGTTATCCTAAGAAATGAAACCTAGAGAATAAAACTAGGAGAGAATGAGGGTGAGCATGAACATAGCCTAAGTTGTCCACAGCAAAAGTGAAATGAGCATGAACATAGCCTAAGTTGTCCACAGCAAAAGTGAAATTTCTTTGAAGCTTTGTGCATTAGCTTAAAGTTATATTCAAATATTGCAAGAAGTATGTTTAAAGTTATTTCCCATCAGGGAAAACTAAGGAAAACAAAACTTCTTACCTGAGTCACTGGTCAGTGGATAAGATGCAATTGCAATGAGTTGATTCTTCTCTGAGAGTTGTTACTCAGGAATTCCCTGCTGAGGGAAGCAGAATTAAGTGTACACACAAGACATTGATCAAGGGCAGTTGCAACAGGAAAGTAGAACCAATTTATGAGAAAGAATATTTTCATTCTGAGAGTTCTAGGTTTCTATTTTGTCAAGGGGGGAAGAATGAAAGCAGAAGGGAGCTGCTGTTATTTTTCTCAGGATCTAATTCTGAAAAAGAAAGTATATGAATTTGAGAGTCTACAGTTTTAAGTAAGGGTCTACACAGTATAATAATAGCAACTTTAAATAGAATCCAGGGAATTTCCTGGTGGTCCAGTGGTTAGGACTCGGTGCTCTTACTGCCGAGGGCCCAGGTTCAATCCCTGGTCAGAGAACTAAGATCCTACAAGCCGCACGCAGTGCAGAATGAATAAATAAATAAAATCCAAAATCCAAGAGTCAGAGACCCCGAGAATAGGAGGAGCTGATAACAGAGATTCTTGGGGAAGCAAAGAGAGCCATTCTAGGGCATTCTGAGAGACAATAAAATAAGGTGAAGCAGTGTTGGGTGTCTGGAGCCAGGGATCCCAATCAGGGATCAAGGGTCAGGAGTGTGGAGCAACTCTCCTAGGGCAGTGATAACTTTGAACACCATCCTTGAGGTGGAGATTACTTCAACTGAACCTAACTCTCATGATATTTTGCTAGACTTTGGGTACAAGTATTTGATGGATAATGTTTTAGTTTTTCATTTGTGCTTAATATTTTACATATTAAAATAATAATTCATCAAAAACTTTCCATATTGTCAAACAAAAAAGTCCTTCATTCAGTTTGGAATGACATGATTTGCTTCATTTGAACTCTAATTTTCTTTCAATGTTCACACTTCACAAAGATTATGGGGGAAACACTTATATAATTAATCCTCACCATGACCATTTTCAAATATTTAGAGTTACCAAAAAAGAAAAATCTTAAGAATGGAAATAGTGGATTTCTGGATTTCCTGTTGTAATAAGAAGTTAAAGTCAAATTGGGATGTACTCAAATTCCAAAACAAATACTCAATTATTTATACTTAACTTAAAGACTGTTGGCACTGAAGCACTTGTGTAGGCAAAGACTTCCCAGAACCTGCGGCATTAATGATTCAGAGAAAGAAAAAAAAAAAACTTAAAGAATGATGGTCTTCTATTCAGGAGTAATTCTCAGGGGATTTGAGCCAATGCAAGGTCTCAAAGAGAAGATGGTGAAAGAGTAGCCCGCTGTACTCTCTATTTTTCTCAAAGAGCGTGTACCGTTCCCCCCCTCCCAAGCTTTACCCCATGAGAGGTGGAGAAGGAGGGAAATAATAGTCAGTCTACCAGTTCCTGCTCTTTCAGACACCTGAGGAACAAGGCGACCTAATGACTTTAGCAGCAGTCCTCCAGTTCCAATACACAAGTCTGATCGTTGGATCTGGGGAGATTGGAGTGGCTGCAGGGTTCTTAGGGAGTACTTTGCACATGAAGAACAAGCAATATAGATTGTTTATGCCAAACATTCCTGACCTGTGGCAGTTTCACTCTCACCTGCATAAGTCTAATGTAGATCACATAGCATTAAACATTCATCTACAATTCTAGCCATTAAGCTTGCACTACATCCATCACAGAGTGAATTCTCTGATGACCAGCCATTAAGCGAGGCAGTACAGGGTTTAGGATCAAACCACCTGGGTTCAGACCTTGTCTCTGTTACTTATTAGTTGTACAGCCTTAGGTAAGTGGCTTAGCTTCCTTAAGCCTCCAGTTTATATCTATAAAATGGAGATGACGATAATAATACCTACATCAGAAATATCTAATGAGGATTAAATGAAATAATCCATATCAAAGTTCTTAGCTCACAGCACCTGGCAAGAATAAGAGTTCAAAGTTGGATATTAGCCATACTGCTTGTTATTCCAGGAAACGGCACTTCAGGACACGTCTGTTATAGATGGCTGAGGCCATCTGGATATTACACAGAAAGAGCAGGGACAAAGGAGAGTTCCCCCATGCCCCTGCCAAAAGCAACTTGAAAGTTCAACGTTCAGTGGCAGTGAACAAGATGTAAAGGTCAACAGCCGTTTCCTCTGGAACCTGGCTAGTAATCTGACGTCTGGAAATTGGCTCAATTTGTGGGTAGAAATAAACAAATTTTCTTCCCTGTGACCTTACAAACCAAACTTCATTCTAACCCTCGTTTCTTCCTAATCCCACTTCCCCAAAATTTATAAAATAATTTCCTCACATAAGCCCATGTGGTACTTTTTGGGTATATCCTAAATTGCAAGGTTATGAATCATTGTGTGAATGCTAAATATTTCTATTCCATTATAGGATTTAATAACAATGATAAAGAAATGCTCTATATTAAAAAGAAAATTAACCTCTTGATTTCAAATTCTGCCCTTTTTTTCCTTTCACAGACCACTTCTTATTCCACAGCATGTTACTATACTATTATTTATAAAGCATTCTTAGTCAATATTTATTTGATTCAAAATCATTATAAAGGCTAGAGTTGTTGCGTCCTAATTTCAGTTCTACATGTTTTCCACCATACACAATTTGTTTCAAACAAAATAGAAAGATCCCTACCCCTACAATCACTTTGTTTTTTCTTTTTTACAATAGGTCATTTCATAAGTGTCCTTTAAGGCCTCTCAGAGATGTAGAATCAAGGAGCATAAGAAATGAAGTCTGTTTCACAAGTAGTATCCAGCTCTATTCATTGAGGCTACTTGAAGAATTTTTTTTAAATCCCTTGCCTCAAGCCTGTGCTTCTATCCTTTAATTTATGCTGCACACCACTTAAATTGAAGTTGCCCAAATATCCATTTTCTAAATTATTCATTCTCTCTCACTATTGGTAGCCTCGTCACAGAAATACTGTGAAAGTTTTAGCATAATCAAGCAAACACTTTGATCTATTCCTATTTCAAAAAAAAATATTCATTGAATACTTTCTGTTTCAAGCGTTCTGCTAGGTGTTGCTTATATAGTGATGAATAAAACAATTATAGTCTCACCTTCATGAGGCTTATCATTTAATTGTGAAATCAGACATGAGACAAATAAACACAAAAATAAATATATAATTACAAATTATAGTGAGCCAGAAAGAAAGAAAAGACAGAGGGAACATATGTGATTATAACAAGGGGGCACCCAATTTACGCTGAGGGAGTCAGAGAAGATCTCTCTAAAAACAGAATATGTTATTTGAAAGCTAAAGGATTCACAGAGTTTAGCTAGGAGAAGATTTGGCGGGGGGGCGGCGGAGGGGAGGTCTTCTAAGCAGAACACATGCAAAGGCCCTAGGACAACAAAGAACTTGCCACATTAAGAAACTGAGGAAGTCTAACATGGTGGAGCTTAGTGAGCAATGGGAAAAATTCTATAATATGGACTTGACCTCATATACCTCTTCTGAAATCAATTTTTTTCTTTAATCCGGAATGTCTATTCAAAAAACCATATTGCTAGATAATTTACAGTGTGGTTTCAAATTTCAAATTCTCATCAAAATTATATTACAAATAAACCTGTACTCAAACCTGCCAACTTCCACACTTCCATTCACCACTCCCCTAAGGTCTTTTAAAATTATTTATCGAATGATCTAAAATTAGTGGAGTAGAAACATGAAACAATTTTTGTTTTACTCCTTTTCACCATGCACTATAAAATCTCTCTTTCCTATATTTTAACATCTTAAGCAGATTTCATAGGTTGGTGGTCACATCCAGCTGTTAATGTCTAACCTTACCTAATCCAAAATTTAAAGCGTCAATCTCAGTCCAATTCTGTGTTGGTTCCTTTCCCTCCTGGCACCTGCCATATTTGGCCGGAGTGATTAGGGAAGGAGAAGGATAATTCTGATCATTCATTCATCCTATCCCACGCCTGGGTTCTTTCTTCCTCCAGTGTATTGGTGAGAGCTAGGGCTTCAAAGATTGCCACGGGCTAGATCCTGAAGAATCTTCTTTGTCAAACTAAAGAACTTGGCCTTTATTTTTAAGGAGATACAGAAAACATTAAAGGAGAATTACACAAATAGATTTTCACTTTAGAATGACCCCTTCACCACACTGTAAAGAGTAGATTAGAGGAGACAAACAAGGATTTGGATTACAAAGAGAACACGGGCCTCTTGAAATCTCTGCCAAAGCTCCCTTCATATGTTTCTTCTCACAAACTTGTCTCAAAATGCCATGTGACCTCCACTGGCTTTGAAATACTCCTGAAAAATCCTTCCTCTAAACTTGGGCAAGCCTGACCAACCATTTTTAGAACTTATTAAACCCCACTATGAGGAAAAGGGCATTCTGCTTTATTAATCTTAGCTGAAGGGTAGTAAGATATTCAAATAGAACTCTTTTGTCTTGGAGTTTCACCAGTGGCCCTAAAGTCTAAGCACAATGTCCAAATTAAGAAGCAAGACCTCCGAAGAAATACATCCTAAGGACTGTGAAACTGAGTCTACCAACATTGTTTAATCTCCCACCTCCATTTCTGTAAATATTGAAACTGAAAAAGCCAATAAAGGGAGGGCCTTTGGAAATTGTTCTGGGTGCTACGGAGGGGAGGAGATGGGGAAGGAGGGGAAAAAGTACTTTCCTTCACCTTAATCCAGGTGACAGGAGCTTCTCTGAACCTCTCAAAAAAACTTGGCCTACAGCCTCTGAAGATTGGGAGACCAGAGACTGGACTCTGCCTCTGTTGCAGGAAGTCCAAAGATGCAAGGCTGTAAATATTATTAGTCTGTAAATAGCAGAGAGAGCTGCGTTAGCAATATTTACAGTTCCAATGACAGTAGGCAAAGGAGTTTGTCTCCTGGGACCCAGATGTGGATCCAGGGTCAGAAAGGCAGCCTGGTGTGTGAGAGGTGAGCCTGGAGAAGCCAAAGGCCCCCAGTAGGGAGACATATTGCTGGAAGCTTATGGCTAAAGGGGGACTCAAAAAGAGCCAGATATGGGAACATTACTTGTTTAAAGGGAACTGCAGTCACAGGTCCTTTAGCAGGAGGGTCCCAGGAAAAAAAGCACCCCAAGAGAATACGAGTCAACAACTGTCTAGCTGTCATCTTTGACACACGTCTTATCTATGTCCCCTGCCCCTAACCCTGGGTATCCTTGTGACTCTCTTTTAACCAGCTGGATGTGGCAGAAATGACATTGCAGGACTTTTGAGGCTAGGTTAGAGAAGGCAATGCCGCTCCCACTTTATTGCCAGATACAACTATATCAGTCAAGTAAAACTTTCTTACCTCTTATATTTCTTCTCCAGAGAAATGGGAAATCATACCTAGGAGTGGAAGAGGAAGTAGAATTACAAAATTTTAAAGAGGTAGAGCATGCTTCCCCCGTTCCTGGTCAGGCCTAAGCTGGGGGACAGGAGAACCCTAAGTTAGATAAGAATCCTAAATTTTGATACTATACTTGACAACAGTTTTTATTTGCTAAAATGAGACTTTCTTGTGATTGAAGGAACCAGAAAGCCCTTCTACCTACCAAATATTTCATCCAGGGCAGGAAAGAGTAAGTCCAAAAGCAGATTTGAAAGGAAAGAATAAAAATAATTCACACACTACTGAGTCCAGTTTATTTGATAAAATGTGTACACGATTTATGATATGTTTTGAAGCAGACGTAAAACAAGAGCTATGGAGTCAACAGAGAGCTGGAATTACACAGAAAGCAAAGGCCATAGGGTGACTATATCAAGGCCAGCTAAAATCCCTGGCCTGCTCAGGGTTAGGACTTTTTATGAAATAAATAAATTAGCTAGTGTAATTGTTTGGACAAGTCATAAAAACAGAAGAAAGCAAAACTGGGTTATACTTGCTCTTCTTTATTTCATACTTTTCTGTTAAAACTTTTTGGGTTTGTTTTTTTTTTTGGAGGGGGGTAGGTAATTCCTGGAAGCCCAGTGGATGTTGAGTAATATGGGATTAATTCTAAAAGCATAAATTATTCTATGTTGTGGGAAGACACACATGACCAGTAGATGAAGTGGCATTTCTGCATGCAATCTGTTTTCTATTTCTTTCCAAAAGCAAGACAAAAACTTGTTTTTCCCTTATGCGGTCTTTTACAATATGTCCTATAATTTAAATTTCCTCTAAAGAGATATGTGTTCCTTCTTTCTTTTAATGATCAGAAATTTTCATGTCAAGAAAGATATAGTGCCTATATCCCCTCCTCAAAATCTGGGTGGGCATGTGACCCATTTTTAACCAATAGAATGTGGCAGAAGTGACACTGCATGACTCCCAAGACTAGGTCAGAAAAGGCAATACAGCCCCCACTTTGTTTGCTGAGATAATGACTTTGGGACCCCTGATGCTACAGAAAGGGGATTACCCTGCGACTGCCATACTTTGAGGAAGCCAAGGCAACAAGAAGAGTCCAAGTGGAGGTGGTCCACTTGACACCCCTGTTGATGTCACAACTGACAAATAATGTCAACCACCAGGGAACTGAGAGAAGACACCCAAGTGACACCAGCCCCCACCCCTTGAGCCATCTCTAGCTACCAAGTCTTCTCAACCGAGGCCCCAAAGTATGAGCCTCTGCTTTCAAGCCATTGAACTACGCCTCATCCACATTTCTGAACCTCAGAATCTGTGAGCATAATAAAATGTTTATTTTAAGCTGCTAATTTGGGAGTAATATGTTACACAGCAGTAGTAAGTACAACAATAGAAATTTTGCAAAATATTGACTGACCTGGGCAATTTCTAGAATTCACAAGCTCCACCAGTTGCTTTATCCTATAGTTCCAACTTTCCCTTATACATCTGTCATGCATTGAGTTCTGTCCCCCAAAATTTCATATGAAGTCCCAGCCCCAGTACATCACCTTACAGAGGATGGTCCTTTACAAATTCTCAGACAGCTGTCTGTCTCCCCTGAGTATACTCTTCAACAAAAGAAGCTTCCCCAGGCTCATGCAGACATTCCTTATATGATATGATTCCTTGTCCCTTCACCACCATGATTATTCTCCTCTGAATTTACGTCCATTTATGCCAAAACAAGAAATAAATTTCCTATAATAAAAACTGTACAGTTGGGCTTCCCTGGTGGTGCAGTGGTTGAGAGTCCGCCTGCCGATGCAGGGGACACAGGTTCGTGCCCCGGTCCAGGAGGATCCCACATGCCGCGGAGCGGCTGGGCCCGTGAGCCATGGCCGCTGAGCCTGCGTGTCCGGAGCCTGTGCTCCGCAACGGGAGAGGCCACAGCAGTGAGAGGCCCGCGTACCACAAAAAAAAAAACCAAAAAACTGTACAGTAAAACCACAGACTACCTCACAAAGCAGTGAGTTTACTGTCATTGAAAGAAGAGCTTTGAAGACCCACAGGTGCTGTAGAGCAATTACTAAATCAGAGAACATATTAGACTCTGTCCTCAAGGATACCTTTTGATTTTATGATTTAATAACGTATTAGACACCTGAGATTCCGTTTATATTCTCTCGTGAGCTGAGTAATAAATGAAGTACAAAAGGGGCACACAATTAAAAATTCTGATGATAGTATATTTTAGTAAGGCTTCACAAAAGAGGAAAACTGCAGAAATAGAAATGAGGACATTCTGAACGATAAGCAGCAAGCTAGTTATTTATCATAGCATCTCATTTACCTTCCCTTTGGATAAGCTAGGTCTTTAATCCTACCACCAATGCTCATGAGAACATTTTTACAAAAGCAGGTTTATGGAATTAGATCTAATTGCTTGATTCTTTTTATTGATGTTGAAATCAGAAAGCTCAGAGGAAGATTTCTTTCACACGGTTAGCCCCGTGGCATTTTCATACAAACCTATCTATAGATCAATCTCTAAAATATGGTACCTTTTAGTAAAACATATTTGAATAAAGCCTTTACCTTTGAACAAAAAATGAAAAGGCTGAAAGGAAGTTATTGTGTGCCTGACCCAATGCACAACTAGGCTGTGAATGGTTCTAAGCCGTCCAGCTTCCTGCATTCCTTAACAATGCTGCTGAGCAAGAGAACTTGTCTACAGATAGAGAATTCCTAAGATTCTGTGTGCCTACGTTGAAACTCCTATTCTGCTCATAAAGCTAAATGAGCTTCAACTGTGACACTTGCTATAAAATAGCAAATACAGAATATCATACCCTCAGGATACCAATATTTCTGTCATGATCCCATCTTTGCTCTGGAGATAGGGGCCTTTTCCAATTCACAAGCTCTTCACTCCTTGAAAATACTCCAGAAAAGAGCAGGGTAGGGGTCAGGGGAAAGAGTTGCCTAAGGAGAGTGAAGGGGCCTTGTACCTTTGTATGATTTCTCAAAAAAGTGGCTCCATTCCTTAGCCCAAAATAAATTTAAATTTAACGTCAAAGATTTAAACAAAACAAAACAGAAACCACAAAATATCCAGGAAAAAAAAATGAGGGATTCTTTTTTAATCTTGAAATATGACCCTTATAAACATAACCCCAAACACAAAATCCATAAAAGTAAACTGTTTAACATCATAAATTTCTAAACTCTCTGAATGACAATAAATAATCAAACAAAACCAAACCACTGGCAACAGTTTCTATATGAATAGAAACTAATATAAACAAACAAAAAATGCTTAATTTCATTCATAATTTTTTAAATGGAACTCAAAGTGAGGAAATTGCATATTTTACCTATCAGATTAGTATTCATTTTAAAATTAAAAGCCAGTGTTGTCATGAGTGGAAACAAATAGGCCTTTTCATACACTGTTAATGAAGCAGTAAATTGTTGCAAAAATTTCGAAGGGCAATTTGGCAATATCTATCTCTGATGGTTTTCATCAGTTTTGGAAAATATTGGCCATTATCTATTTGAATATTGCTTCTGTCCCATTATCAATCTTCTTTTAATACTCCTATTATATATATGCTACCTAAAATAATCTTGAAGAACAGAGCTGAACAACTTACACAACCACAGATCAAAAACTATTATAAAACTATAGTAATTAAGACTGTGATAATAATGCAAGTATAGACAAACCAACTACGGTAGGCAGAATTCTAAAGATACCAACTTCCACTTCAAGATCACTATTCACTGTTATTTAACCAAACCTAATCAAAATACTGCTGTGAAGGAACTTTGCAATATTATTATGGTTACTAACCACCTGACTTTAAAATGGAGAGATTATCCTGGATTCTCCAGGTGGGCCCAATATAATCACATGAACCCACAAAAGCAAAAGAGGATGGCAGAAGAGCCAGTCAGAGTTGCAGCAGAAAGGGTAGTAAGAGAGATTCTAAGTGTGAGAGGAACTTGACTTGCTGTTTCTGGAGGGCCACACAGAAAGCATGAAAAGGAATGCACAGCCTTGAGAAGCAAAAACTAAACCCCAGCTGACAACCAACAAGGAATTGGGGAACTCAGTCCTACAACCACAAGGAATTTAATTCCACCAACAACCTGAATGACCTAAGAAGCAGATTCACCTCCAGAGCTTCCAGATAAGAGGCCAGCCCTGCCAACACCTTGATTTCAGCCTTGTTAGACTTTAAACAGAGGACCCAGAAGAGCCACACTGTACCTAGGCTTCTGACTCACAGAGCTGTGAAACTTAAAATAGGTGCTGTTTTGAGCCACTAAATTCATGGTAATTTTCAATGACAATGTAATATATTCTCAACATGGAATACTATACAAAAAATGAGAATGAATGATCTACTACTATATCTAATGATACAGATGAATCTCAAGAGCAATGAGTGAAAGAAGCCAAATACAAAAACAGTGTATAATGTATGATTCTCTTAAGAAAAATATAAAAGCTGATAAAACTAATGTATGATGTTTAGAAGGACAATAGTCACCTGTGGGAAGATGGTGAGGGTTTGGTTAGTGACTTTGGAACACAAGGAGAGCTTCTGCAATACCAGTGATATTCTGTGTCTTGATCTGGGTTTCATGACACAGAAGTGTTCAGTTTGTGAAAATTCATCGAGTTTTACAATTACAATATGATCACTTTTCTGTATGTTTATCATACATCCATAAAATATTTAAACAATAGTGGAAGCTAATGTTTGCAGTCCAATTGGACATTCTCAGTAACTTTACATCATAAAAATATTTTATATATGCAAAAAAGTGGTAGAGTCATGAGTAATTTATATTTTTTAAATTAAAATTGTTTAAAATTAAAATATACAAAAATAGGCACTGTACTTTTTCTTAACAGTCTTTTTACATAATGCATCACGTTTGTTTTTGTACTCTTATCTCATTTCTTTTATAAACTGTAGTGTACTAACTAAAACATTAGTCACACCTTTAGAGCACTCAAGCTAGGTTCATCATCATGGTTTTATAAGAATATGAGAAAACTGGAGATGATTTAAGTAATGAATCATAATTTATTCTTGAAAACCTGCCAAATGTTTTAGATCTTGGTTCCTATCTTCCCTTTCAGGTTGTAGTCCCTAATATCTACAAATATTCTACAACTGCTTTTTATTTGCTTTAGTTCTAGCTTTTTATATTCCTTTCCCACACTCCATCTGATTGACTGTATTTGTTACATCTTCAATCTCCCTGATACAATTCACACCACTGGGCTGGACTGTTTTCTGCATCAATGCCTCTGGATGCCTTCTATCTGATTGCAGGCCAGACTTTCCACAACATACCCTGAAGGATCGTCATCAACTCAATATTTTCCTCATCCCCATATGCAAGTCCTGACCCTTCTCTATCTCCTAGGTTCTGCCCTTTCATGAGATAAGATTCATCTGAAGAAGACTTTTGATAAATGAGCACACTATAAAATGAGAGCCCAGATCAAGATACAGAATATTACCAGCATGTCTGATAGGACAGTTCACTAAAAGTTTGGATGAGAATCTATTAAAATCATTTATTCATTTAATCAGTATTTATAGTACATCTACAGTTCCAGTCAGGCTTCCAGGTGCTGATACTACCATAGAAAATCATGAGGCCCAATTTTTGGTCCTAGCTCTGCCACTTTCTAGCTATCTGATCTTAAATGCATTATTTAACGTTTCTGAGCCTTAATTTCTTTACATCTAAAAATGTGTTAAAACATTTCTAAGATTCCATGACTATCTAAGGAAAATCAGATAAGGCTTACTTAGAAAATACGGGTTGGTTTGGGGGTGGGGAGAGGCGTGGGGCAAAGACTTCCAGTTAAGCAGAGTTAATTGACCATGTTTTTTTTAAAATTTTATTCTCTTTTCATAACCCCCACAAAAAAAAAGAAGAATTAAAAGGAGATAAACTATGAGAAAAAAAAGAATGGACGACAGCAGACAGAAAATATTTTAACAAATTTAGTGGAAAAGAAGATGGAGAAGGGATAAGTAACTTAGCAGTGTGACCTAAGTGTCTGAAGAGGGGTATACCAGTAAACCAGTCAGTTTGTAGGCTAGAGGCTCAGGGCTAAGACAGTCCAATTCACATGGAAAAGGGTGGGGGTGGGGGAGTGGGAGTGGGGGGAGGGGGGTGTCAAGCTGAAGCCACAGCCCAGCTGAAGGTCTGTATGTTTGTACATTAAGCAGTTGGCAGTCTAGATCTCCTTCCCACCTCACCCATCAAGGACTAGAAATGGACTCAGAGAAGCACTGGACTCTCATGAAACCAGAGAACAGTGTGGCGGGTGGAAGGCTGAAAACAGAGGAGAGGATTAAGAGAAAATCTGAATACCAGAAGCGGAGACTTTTTTCTATCCTACTCTCTACACTACTTTTTTCCACCCTATTTTCAACAGCAGCTGGACATGCAATCCAACTCCCTCACATTTACCCCTCCTCCCCAGTTCATGCTGCATTTAAATATATTCAAAACGTTGTTGCCGGGCATGTGACAGAGATGTAATATTTGGAAAAATTAGCAAGGAAATCTGACAAATGAAAAGATGAGAGAATTATTAACTGCAGGGAAAAGTATTATATGAAAAAGAGGAGTGATGTCATATACAATGTGGCTTACATTTGCACAGTCATAATAATGTAAACACTGAGTTGATTTAACCTAAATTTATTGTGTTACTACATCGAGCAATGTAGTAGAAGGGAAGGAGAGTGGTGGGACTTGGGAGTGTGCTAGGTATGATCGTTTGATCTTCAACATACATTCTCACCCTTTCAATGTACCCCCTTAATCACAGAGGCTAGGAAGATAAAAATGACCACATTTCCCAATTGGTCTTGACGCTACAGTTCTGCATATAATTTAAGCTCTGTCATAAGATGCACTTGCTTGAGATTTGGAAGGCAGAAGTGAGGCAAAGCCCATTTCCTTGTAGCTGTGGTTACTGGTAAACAAGGTTGGACAGATAAGAATGTTTGCCGCGGGCAGACTTCACATTCCAATGTCTATTCAGGACTTAATGGGTGTGCCATGCACTCTGCAAGGTACACCATTGAACCCAACAGTCCTGTGTGGTCTTTGCCTCCACTCAGTTGTTGCCTGCCCACCCCCATAACAATTTGGTAATCACCTAATTCCCTGCTCTGAATCCCTAGCCCAAACCAAACACTGAGAAAACTTAAGTCCTAAATGACAAATTGAGAAATAGCAGTATGAGCACATTATTGAGAAATCTAGAATTTCTTTTTTTTAATTGATTTACTTATTTGTTTTTGGCTGCACTGGGTCTTCGTTGCTATGCGTGGGCTTTCTCTAGTTGCAGCGAACGGGGGCTACTCTTCATTGGGGTGTGTGGGCTTCTCATTGACGTGGCTTCTCTTGTTGCGGAGCACAGTCTCTAGGCGCCCGGGCTTCAGTAGTTGTGGTTCATGGGCTCTAGAGCACAGGCTCAGTAGTTGTGGCGCACGGGCTTAGTTGTTCCGAGGCATGTGGGATCTTCCCTTACCAGGGTTCGAACCCATGTCCCCTGCGTTGGCAGGCAGATTCTTAACCACTGCACCACCACGGAAGTCCTGAGAAATCTAGAATTTCTTACTGGGGAAATCAGTTAGCAGAGTGAGAGTGAGTAGAGTAGCATTGGAGAGCAGACCTGGGGATACACAGAAGTGAATATAATTTATAGATTATACTGCAGGTATCCTAAAAGCATAAACTATGTCTGGCTTCATTCCCCTAATATTGTTGCAAGGTTAAAGGTAATACTGAAACAGGAGGGAAGGAGGCAGGGCACAGCCTTTGAAAGAATGACATAGCCCGAGGACATGACATAAACTGATTAGAGCCAAATGGATCCAAGATGGCAGACGAGTCAACTTCCACTAGACCTTGAGCCTCAGTATACATTCACTGTGACACATCATCAACTAAATGACACACCCACAGGAGCCATGACAGTTCCAAGGTCAACCATAAGGATCAAAAAGTGGGCAGTGGCCCAATTCCTGGAAATCCCCACCCCTTCCTGAAATAGTTGGAATACTCCTCCCACTCATTAGCCTATGAAATTACCCACCCCTATAAAAACTGACAACCCCATATCCTGGTGCCTTTCTCACCTTCTGAGATGGCCCACACTCTGTCAGTGCAGTGTGCTTCTCTCTAAATAAATCCACTTCTTACCTACCACTTTATCTCTCACTGAATTCTTTCTGCGATGTGACATCAAGAACCTGAGCTTCATTAAATCCTGAAACCAGGTGTGTGATCTCACTTGGAAGACTGTGGGTTTTGGCCGGGTTCCAGTCCCAGTACATGGGTTCAAGTCCCAATCTGAGGGTGCATGGTTTCAATATTACTATAGGGCAGTTTTAAACACCTACACAGATGCCAATTCTCTTCTCCAAAAATTTTTCTTGTGTCAGGTTTATAGTATTCACACAGCCAAAGGAGGAGGTACGTCCAAGTATTTCACAATATATACGTCTCACCATACATCTCTTCATTGTCCTCTGAAAACAAAAGAAATAGTATGTGTTAATACAAACAAAATGTTTTGATGCTTTCTTTTTACCCCATTAACAAGGAGTTTTACTCTCTCCCAAATCTCTAAGAATTTTCAGGAAGCTTAAGGTCCTATGATCATTTCTGGTTCTGCATCTACTGACTTACCACTTTGCATTTGCTAATTCTTCAGCCCAAATGGGTTCACACAGGGAACTCACCTTCTGTTTTTGCTTTCTCTGTCTCATCCCTTCAACCACCCAAAACAAACATTTATGTACACACTTTCACACATGCTTTTGAGAAGAGCTGACTTTGTCAAGTTCTGGGGAATATAGAGGGAATTTACCCTGGAGAAATATAAACATCTGAAAAATAAAGTTTTAAATTCTTCTTCCTAAAAAGCCCTGTGATCATTTCTAAAACTGCCTCCTGCTTTTAGCTCTTCTCTTCCTGGTACCAACCCACATAGGAAAAAAAAAGTTCATATTTTCTTATGTGGAAAAACTGAAGTCACTCCAACTCTCTATTTCAAACTCATCTCAGGGCCTCCCATTACACAGCCCAGGAGTCAGTAGAAACTTAGAAATTACCGCTGTCCGTTCAGCCACAGCACATTTTCAGAACAGAGCCAAAGCTTTTCCCTATTTTTGTCCCAAGGTAAGGTGTAGAAGGTTTTTAATTCAAATGGTGCAAAGGATGACTTTCTGATTATCAGGACAGTAAAATAACAAGAGGAATGCCAAAAGGAAATCATAATGTACCATACTTGAAAATACTATAAAAAAGATAAATAGTAATCTCTCCTGGATGGTTTATGTCAGGTTTTGACGGTCTTTTTGCCATTGGGTGGTAAATCTTCATTCACTGCCTCCTTCAGGAGCCCACAGAATAAGATTAGGTAAAGAAAGCCCAAGTTATCCTTGAAAATAAATCCCTTCCTCTGTGTCTGTGTGTGAGTGTTTTTATTTAATCATGTCTTCATATCGTTAACATTTTTTCTGCATGGCAAACATGTCATAGGCACTATCTCTCAGTTTTCTTATTTTGATTTCTGCATAAGTAGTCATTGGATTATAACGTAACTCAAAAGTATTTTCATTCAGGAAGCCAGTTTCTGAAACTGCAAAGTGGTAAATATTTTATTCTTTAGACAAGTACACTTATTGAATGTTTCTAGACCCACTTTCCTCATTAAAGATTGAAAGAATCTGAAGACTGAAAGGTTAAATACCTTGAATACTTATTTATTACTTTCATTTATTAATGAGAAATATATAAGTGAACTTGTGATTTTCAGGCTTTTAAAACACCTTGAGTCATAATTAACATATTCTAAAATTTGCCCATTGTAAGTATACAATGATTATTAGTAAATTTATAGACCTGTACAATCACCATCAAAATCTAATTTAAAAACATTTCCATCACCCCCCAAAATTCCCTGGTGCCTCTTTGCAGTCACTCCCATTCCTACTCTCAGGCCTAGGCAATAACTGATTTATTTTTTGTCTCTGTAAATTTATCATTTCTTAAGATTTCTTATAAATAAAAGGATGCAATATGTAGTCTTTTGTGTTTGGCTTCTTTCACTTAACATAGTGTTTTAAGGTTCACCCATATTGTGGCATGTATCAGTAACTATTCCCATTTATTACTGAATGTACAGGTAGATATACCACATTTTGTTTATCCATTCATCACTTAATGGACTTCTGGGTTGTTTCCACTTTTTTGGCTAATATAAATAACGCTGCCATGAACAGTCATGTGCAAATTTTTGTGTGAACACATTTCCAGTTCTCTAACAGCTGGGTCATATGGTAATTCTATGTTTAACTTTTTGAAGAACCACCAAACTGTTTCCAAAGTAGCTGCACTATTTTTGCATTCCTACCAGCAACACATAAGAATTCCAATTTTTACACATCCTCACAAAAACTTGATATTGTTAATCTTTTTTATTATAGCTATTTTAGTGGGTAAGTAGTAATATCTCATTGCGGTCTTATGTTGCGTCTTCCTAATGACTAATAATGTTGAGCATCTCTTCATGAGCTTATTAGACATTTATATATCTTCTTTGTGAAATGTCTAGTCATATCTTTTCCCCATTTTTAAGTTGGGTGGTTTGTCTTCTGAGTAGTTGTGTGCTTTATATAGTCCAGATGCAAATACTTTACCAGATGTATTATTTGCAAATACGTTCCCCCAATCTGTGGCTTGTCTTTTTAAGACTTTCAGGTTTTGAAATGGGGGAAAAAAATGTAATGGACTCAATATTATATAAGAAAGATACTTAATCTCCTAATAATTTTATTCTTTTAAATCCTCAAATGCAAATTTTAGAGCTTCTGGGTAATAATGCAGACCAAATTTGCTAACTGGAATTAAAGTCTACCCCCTAGAGGATGAACTGTAACACAAGAAAAACCTTTTATAATATGTTTTGATATAAGACTAGTAGCATACTAGCCTCAACTGGCTAACTGTCTTGTGGAGGGTAGGGGCAGGGGGGATTGGGGGGGACGGGGGGGCGGGGACGGGGGGGCTGGGTGGGCAGAAGGAGATCCTAAGTTGTATCATTGCCAATTTCCATGGTGTAAATACTTCCCCTTGGACCTTTCAAAGTACTAATGGTTTAACAACCAGCTCACAAATTCCTGAATATTCAGCTATTGACTCTAGAGAGCCAGAAAGAGCTAGCTCTAGCACACTACTGAAAATCCATGATTAGACTGACAATAAGAAGTCTTGAAGAGAAATCCCTTTAAAATTTAAAACAAACAAACAACAACAACAAAAAAAACTACTGCTCTGAAGGAATTTACAGATTACCAATAAAGAAGTCACTGATCCTTTACATAAGAATGAAAGGAAGATGAGTTTTTAAAAATCTAGGTCTACAGATTATAAAAATATATTTTATGGCTTCCCTGGTGGCGCAGTGGTTGGGAATCCGCCTGCCGATGCAGGGGACACGGGTTCATGCCCCGGTCCAGGAGGATCCCACATGCCGCAGAGCAGCTGGGCCCATGAGCCATGGCCGCTGAGCCTGCAAAAGTTCTACAAAGGATGAAAATGAATATAGAAATATTCTCTAAAGCAGAAAATGGAGAACATTTTATAACAATGGTATCACTCCATTAATCAGGCAAACTGACTGGAGCAAACTATGGTAGCTATGGGGAATTCATTCCATATGGTTTGGGTAGTGCTGACCTTTCCCATCTTTCTACAGCTGCAAACACACAACCCTGGCCCTCCAACTGGAATATTTCACCCCCTTATCCTCTGAGATTAGTTCAGAAAAGGCAAATGAACCAATCCAGAGACCTACCTAGAACTTTCACTGGAAGGAGGTGTACAGGTATGCCCTGCTTTTGGAAGGTTTGCTTTATGCCACTTCACTTCTACTAAAGACCTGCATTAGTACCTGTTTTTACTAACCAAAAGAAATCCAAAGAGGACTTCTGCTTTTACGAAAAAAGGCAAAAAGTGAAAATAGCATTCAGGGTTTGTTTTGCAGCGAGCTGTTACAAAGGAAGTTGTGCACTCTGAGCAGTGACAGCGGCACTGCCAAGCTCCCTCCCTAGGAACTACATTCAGTATCTCATCTAGCCGCCAAAGCTTTGAACTGTGTATGTGAGCATCTGTGCCTTATGGAGATTTATTTTGTGCATTCACTAGCAAGAGGTGTCCTAAAATAATTGCTTCTTTGCTTTACACCACATCAGCTCACGAAACGTTTCATAGGAATGCTCTACTGTTGGATAGCAAGGGAAACCTGTATTCTGTTAGCTGAGGTCACTAGGCAGGAGGACAATGAAGCCTGGAGTTGTAGTTTCTCAAATGGTGAACCATTCTCCCAGTATTTAGTCATCAGATTTGAAAGGGAATTTTTAAAAAATCAATTATCCCATCCCTCTTTCTACAGTGCAAAGCGTTCCCCCTAGCTACTGGTCTAGAAGTGATCCAGTCAGGGCAAAGGTCAGAACTTTCAGTCAGTGGTTAAGGAAGTTAAATGCTCTCTTTTCCAGAAAGTGAACCAGTGGCCTCTAGCAGTCATGAGAAAAGTCAAGCTGAGGATAAACCAAACACAGGGAGGATGGCAAAGCCTAGAGAATTTCAGAGAAAGATCCAGAATCCTGATGAAGCCTTTCTTGAAGAAGTTGTGTGGACAAATCTTTTTTGTTTTAGTTTTTGATTTTCAGCCAGTTTATATTCAATTTTCTATTACTTGCAACAAAAGCAACTTATCTGGTTGAACATCTTTCTGTCCTGGTTTGTTTTGTTTTTTAACTTTTCTGTATTATTTGACTCTGCCAGTCACTTTTTGGAATTTTGTCCTCCTGGGGCTTCAATCTTTCACTCATCTTCTGCTCTTTAAAGGCAATCAGCACATCCCTGGAAACAAGCATGGAAAGACATGTACAGCACAGCACATTGTTGTTGATCCAGGTTCATCTCTCTTTTTTCACCAGCAACCTCATTTCACACAGGTCTATGTGACCCAGTTTTGGACTGTATCCTCACTCTAACATTTACTGACCTAAAACAAATAGAGTGCCAGTTATTTCTCCAGCAAAAATGAGTTTATTCAGGGTCAACAAAGAATTGCATGAGCAATCACGGTGAGCTACATTTGAGTACCCTACCCCCACCCCTCAGCAAAAAGGAAAGGAAAACTATTTTAGAGAGGGGGAAGGGAAGTTGGGAGGTCTATAGTACACAAAGAGTCTATTGGAGGAATTGAGAGTTCAAAGTATAGTGGCTTTTCATTAGCTAACTCGTGACAATCTCTCATTCGTTGAGCTCTCGCCAGGCAAGAAGAGGAAGTCTTTCTTCTTCCTGTTGGTCTCCACTATCACCCTAGGGTTTGAGCGCTCCCCCTTCTGGACTCCCAACACTATTTTAACTGAAGTTTCAGTTGATTAATTTTTACTTGCCCCCCTTTTGATCAAGATTTCTCTCTCTCTCTCTCTCTCTCTCTCTCTCTCTCTCTTTC